CAACCGGTTGTAAGTCGAGGACTATTCAACTGGTGCAGCACCGTTTGCAGAATGGGACTTTTGGCGGGCTCAGCAGGGCAGAGACAGCCTGGACAATTCCTATTGGCTTTTGAAAGCCAATAGAATTAGACTCTATTCAAGAGAGTCTATTCTATTGGCTTTCAAAAGCCAATAGAATAAAAGGGAGTAGCACAGCTAAGGAAAAGGGGGAAAAAATGGCAGACTGCATTGTTTGGCGACCCCCGTGAAATGGCCGTTCGACCCCAAATGGGGTCCCGACCCACAGGTTGAGAACCACTGGCCTAATGGAACAGTGGTGATATTTATGGGTCATTCTGCTACTGTAATAGCTGATTCCTGATGCTGTGGGCTTCACTTTGGAAAGGTATTTTAATGGCACAAACTTGGAGGCAAAGGTCACATAACAAAAATGACAAAAGCATCATTATTTGTTCCAACTTAATTTCTCCATCATTACACTATATGTAATGATATGTGGGAATGACCTCAGGAGATGGTACCAAGGGAATGGTCAGATAAGAGAGGGCATAGCCTGCAGCTGGATACTGAGTGGGGCAGGAGGCTTAGAAGGGACCCTCTTTAGTTTCTTAGAGCTGTACAGGAGACGTGGTGGATATATAATAATAAATAATAATTTTCAGACTTGCAGGATTCTGTTAAAGTAGAAATAGTTCATCTGGTTATGTTTCCCATCTGGCCTATCTGGGAAGGAGACAAAGAACTAAGAGAGGTTACCTTAAAAGTAAACGGGCAAACCACATTTATACAAACCACACTCTCCTATGTGTTATAATCTTGCTGATGCAATTGCTCGTTATTTGCTCAAAAAAATATTTTGTCCTTTTTTTAAAGAACTGTTGCATTTTGATTTGCTGGGGGCAAGCAGATATAATTATAGTAATTAAGTAATTAGAACTTGTAACTTGCTTTAGTTGGTGTAGTAAAATAGTGGCTGACTCCAGCTGTATGCACAAAATATCAAGGTTTCCAATGCTAAGATGCAAAACAAGTGCAATATGTGGGGCCTGCAAGAGAATATTAATGTTCTTCCAATTAGTCTGGAACATGTTGCTTTTAACGGTATTTCCAATTACAGGACACAGCTGAAGTGCAAGTAGTCCTCAACATAAGACCACAATTGAGACTAGAACATCCATTGCTAAAAGAGATGGTCATTAAGTGAGCCATGCCTAATTTTATAACTTTTTTTGTTGTGGTTATTAAGCAGATCACACAGTCATTAAGCAAATCCAGCTTTGCCTGCTGACTTTGCTTCTGAAATGGGCTGGGAAGGTTGGAAATGGGGTTCATGTGACCTTGGGATGCTGCAACTATCATACATGTCATTTGCTAGGTGCCAGAATTTTGATCACATGATTGCAGAGACACTGCAACAGTTGTAAGTGTAAAGGACCAGTTGTAGGGTTTTTTTTCAGCATGGTTGTAACTTCGAATGGTCTTTTAAATGATTGTAAATTCAGGATTACCTTTAGGCAACTTTGGAGACCTTGAAGGGACCTTGGAGGTCTTCTAGTCCAACCCCCGGCTTAGGTAGGAAACCCTATACCATTTCAGACAAATGATTGTCCAGTTTCTTCTTAAAAACTTCCAGTGTTGGAGCATTCACAACTTGTGGAGGCAGGTTGTTCCGCTGATTAATTGTTCTAACTACCAGGAAATTTCTCCTTAGTTCTAGGTTGCTTCTCTCCTTGATTAGTTTCCATCCGTTGCTTCTTGTCCTGCCTTCAGGTGCTTTGGAGAATAGGTTGATGCTCTCTTCTTTGTGGCAGTCCCTTAGATATTGGAACACTGCTATCATTGCTATTACCATTAATTTGACATCAGAAGTTGACAAACTGTTCTCTCTTGTACCTCTGTGCTAGCCTTAGGCACAGCTGAAACTATTTCTGTAATTGAAGGTGATGATTTGCAGCAAGCTAGCTGCTGTGTTGCCTTGTCCTCTCCTGTTTTATAGGAGTAGAAAGTTTTCGTTCCCAGTTGTGTAGAGAATTGTATTGTTTTTTCCTAAGGAAATAGAAAACTTGCTAGAGATGTTTTAATCTTCCATCTCATTAGGCTACTTACGACAAAGTGTGAACCAATAAATTCACTCTTATTCATTTGTTCTTCATTTTTGTTTGTGTCTTGTTTTCAGCAGCTACCCTGATTTTCTGCATAACATCCCATCCTACTTAAACAAGCATTTTCGAATGGTGCCATTTCAGTTCCAAATTAATAGGCAGCCAGCTACTTGAATTTGTTGCTGACTTGATAGGGAACACCACCTCCCCAAAAATAACACCTTTCACAAACTTCCATATAGTTCAGCCTTAGCTATCTCTTGTGCAGAATTTCAGCAGACCAGCACTGGACCATTTGTTGTTTCTGGGGCCACCATCTTCTCTGTCCAGAATGGAAGACCAGCCATAGAATGGCCTGGGATATAGGACAAAATTGTGCCTCATCCCAGTTCTTGTAACTCTTACTTCTACATGTTCAGGTGGGCAAAATAGGGAAGCTACAACTGTTTGGAGCAGCCCCAGTGCCAGCAATTCTAACATGAAACAAGGGCTCCTTGGTCCTCTCTGAACTTAGTTGTTTTCTTGCACATTCGCTGAACAATGGTCAGCACTGATGATGTTAGCTAGTTTGGTAATGAGACATCTGCAGGAAAACAACCAAGCTCAGAGAGCACCAAGACTCCTAAGCTACAAATATTCTCCTTTATTGGTTACATGAAGCAGCCCACTTCATTTTGACTGATGATAGAACAGTTCCTGGCAAGGTACCTATGAAGAAGAAGGTAAGATGGGAGCAATGCAGCTAATTCCTGAGTCATAGCCAGTGATTTGGTATTTACAAAAAGATGAAAAGGGGAAACAGTTTTCTGCCCTTGAAAGTCTTCTCCTTCTAAAATCATTTTAGGTGAAGAACCTCAGCCCTTAAAGCACGGGTGTCAAACATGTCGCATCACATGACGTGTCATGACATATTGTGACTTTTTTCGCATTGCCAGAACTGGGGTAGGCGCGGCCTCAGCATGATGTAACCGGCCCGCGGGCTGGCAGTTGGACACCCTTGCCTTAAAGCAAACCAGTTCATTCACCTCCCACCAATTGTCATTTTAAGGATCTCTTTTCAAAGCCACTTGACTCCTTACTTATTTGCTGTGAAGTTTAACTCAACCTGTATATGTGCCTTTTTGCAGCATTTCTATGGCTTCGTACAACTTTTAAAAGCTATCTTTTCTCCTTCTGGCAAAATATGTCCTCAGCAACTGCATTAACTGAACGGATGATTATACCTGAATCTTAGCATTCTGCAGCATATAAAATGGCTGTAAAGCGTCTGGTGCTTTAAAGATTTGTGCAGGCAGGCAACCAAGTAGATTATGGGGATAAACACAGCTCCTGTAGGAAAAAAGCTACAGCACTTGTGGCTTTTTAAGTTACCCCAAAGAGTAGACTTTTCTGTTCCATTCTAGGAGTCCTCCAAATGGTGTGGTCTTCAACTTGTTGCTGGGAATCCTGGGGTTCCTATCCACACATATGGATAGTGGACAGGCCTAGTGGAAACTATGAAATGCATGACATCATGCCTGGTATGGAAGTGTGAACAAAGAGAAGTTTTTCTCCCTCTGGATGATATGGGATCATCCACTGAGACGTATTGTAGGAAGAATCAAGGTTAATAAAAGAACAAATATATAGCACCCAGAGTTCATCTGTAGAATTTGTTGTTCTTAGAATTTGTTGCTTCAACCACCAAATGTTTTATTTTAAAAGGGAGTCTCAATAAATTAATGGAGGATTACACTATCTACTAGCCATTGATGGTTTTTTTTAAAAAAAAAAATGATGATGTGCCATGTTTTAGTCATTTCTGGCCTAGTGACCACATAGATTTTCTCCAAAAAGCTCTATCTCTAACCTGTTCTTTTGTGTAATGGTGTACTCGTTACCCTTGTAACAAAGTGTTGATACCAGCTTCTGAATCATAGCCCGCACTCTTTAAATACTAGCTCCTAGGGAAGAGGAAGCAAATATTGTCCTCCATTCCCTGTTTGTGAGTTTCCTGTAAGCACTTAGTAGGTGAAGAATGATGAACCATATTGGTTTATAGTCTTCCTTTTGGGAAGACTATATTAAGGGAGCGTGTAATAGAAGTAGGATCCACCTCTTCCCAACCTTGTGTTTTCATTTCTATAGCAGCTTCTCCATCTGGTGAGCTTCATATAGATTGGATTTCAACATTTGGAAAGTATTGAGGATCTGTGACAATTTGCCGCAGCCAACTCACCACAGTCAGCTTGTGACGGCTGACTCGCCACAGGACAACTCACTGCGGGACAAGAGTTACACTAATATCAAAGAAATGGTAGAATAGAATCACTAAAGAAAGGATGCAAAAGAAGAGACAGAATGAAATGTGAATGGCAAAAATTAAAATAATTTTTATTTATTTTAAATAATTAAATAGAATTGTTAAATTGTCCCGCAGCAAGTTGTTCTGTGGGCGAATTGGCCATGGTGAGTTGTCCCACGGTGAGTTGGCTGCAGTGAACTGGCCATGGTGAGTTGGCCATGGCAAGTTGGCTGCGGCAAGTTGGCTATGGCAAATTGTCCCATTCCAATATTGGATTGGAGAAAAAAGTTCCAGAAATATGTTAGCACCCCACAAAGGTAAAAAAAAGGGCTAGCAATGTATTTATGAGACAGGTTATAATAGATAGATCAAGATGGTTGGGGAGTGGGTTTGAAAATGGAAGAAATGCAAATTTATCGTTACAGCAGTTCACTACTTAGCCCTCTCCAAAAGTGTGGGATTTCAGCTCCCTTGAATTTTAGGCAGAATAACTGGTGACAAAGGATTATGAAAGTTGTGGTCCAAAATATCTGGAAGGCACCAATTTGTTACCCCTGCTATCCTGGCTTTAAAAGTAATGGCTTCCTCTTTGCTTTCTCTTTTCCTTATTACAGTTCTTTCCAGAGATCCATGTGGCCAAGATCCCCACCTTGGACTCTTCAAATGAGCTATTCAGTCCCGATGGCCTACACCATCATCTAATAACATAAAAAGCCAGGAGTCGACTATGGGTGATTCTACAGCAGAGATTGTTGGTCAAGCCACAGACATGGGTTGCAAAGATGCTCAGATGGAGCTTGCCGGGAGAGTAGCTGCCATCACTGTAACAGCTGGTCCCAATGGAATTAAACCAAATAGTCAGGAAGCAATAGAAGAAACTGTTGTTCTGTTATCTAATTGCACATCTGAAAACAACCAAAGGAATGGGGTCAGTGTTGATTCAGGAACCTCTGAAGAACTGGATGACACCAATGAGCTACATGAGCCAAAGAAGGTCCCCAAAAGGCCCGTTTTAACTGGCAGGAAGTATTCCCTTCAAGAAAAGAGTACTGGGAATTACTTGAGTTCCTCTGATCTTCCAGACTTTGGTCCATATGCCACGGGACCCTCCACGCATATTTCACCACGAACAGGGAGGAGGCCAACAATAGAGTCCCACCGAGTCTCTATCTCGGATGCTGCGGTAAGTTTGCTCTTTGTGACCTGTTCTGTTGGCTAGCTATTATGTCAGTTGGGAATGTCTATGGAGATTCTCCATCTCCGTGCTGAGAAAAGGCGTTTCGGTAAGACAACGCCCCTTCTCAGTCATCCAGGTCATGGTTGTCCCAAAGGTGCTTTTTCAAAAGGCAACTGGACTGTCTTTGTTTTTTCTCTTGAAGACATTTCACTTCCCACCCAAGAAGCTTCTTCAGTTATGACTGAAGAAGCTTCTTAGATGAGAAACAAAATGTGTTCAAGAGAAAAAACAAAGACAGTCCAGTTGCCTTTTGAAAAAGCACCTTTGGGACATGTCTGTTGGGAATGACTTTAGTTCAGCAATGCAAAAAGGTCCACCCAGCCTATTCCTAATAATTAATGCAAGCGTTCCTCCCAGCCACCAGTATCTGAATCATAATTTTACCACCTGCCCCTTACATTTCTTTCTACCATCATTTTTGGGTGCATCTGCTTTGGCACATATCTGTTGAAGTTTTCTCTGTGGCGGTAGTTTGTTGATTATTATTGTATTGGATGACGTGTGTAGCATTTCCCAGAGGACTCACATAAGAGTGGAAAACAAGCAATTCAATATTTTAATGCAGGCAAAGAATGTGTGGTTGCTACACTATTGATAACTGCCAATGTCCACGTAACACTCTCGCTGGACCACAAAGACTAGCTGATGTATTGTGGCATCAGCTTTCATTAAGTCAAGTCTCCTTTGTCTGTTGCTTTTAGTTGGCAGATATATTTGTGCCCAGAAGAAAAGTATTTTAATATAAATTGTCAAGGCAAAATGACCATGAAATGAAAGAGGTTCATAGTCAGGCCTGTGACATCCCTTTCCAAATATATACAAGTTGTGGATTGATTAATTCCTTTGTAAGAATAGTAAGTATTTTTATATTGCTATGTAAATTTATCAGTAAGGGAAAACTCAGTTGTTTAAGACAAGCTATGATGAAAGCCAATGAAATGTAGTAAATAAAAAAGGAGTCCCTGATTTTGGGAGACCAGAAATTTGCAATTTTGAAAATATGCAATGGGGAAGCCATTAGGTATCTCCAATGTACCTACACACAGAGCTGTTTTAAAGACAAGCTATTCAATCTTCTGTTAAGAATAATTATACTAATAAAGATTTCTTTATCCCATATTTCTAATTCAATCTGTGGTTATCTTCTGCAAGTATCATCATATTTTCCTTTGATCTCTGCCTGTGTTTGTTTTTATTGTTCAAACATTGTCAAAGGTCCCTGAAATGGCCAAAGAATGAGTCTCTTTAAAGACACTAGAAGACATTGTTTTTGTGACCTACCACATTTCTTTTTAAACAGAAAGCTGTCACTAATAGTGGAGTTTAGTGTGATATTGATGGAGACTAACAGCGGAATGACTGATTTTGTCTCTAAGACATAGCTATTTATTCTAAGTTTCTAGGTCTACCCTTTCTGCCTTTTCCTTTCATCTTTAATTCATCTTTTCCATCACTGCTGACTGACAGAGTTAAAACAGATGTGGCATGTTTTATTTTCAGTATTTACAGGTAGTCCTCAACTTATCACTGTAATGGAGGCCATAATTTGCATTGTAAGTCATGATGGTTGTAAATCAAGGCAGCCCATGACTCAATTTTATGACTTTGGGGGGCAGTTGTTAAATGAATGCCACAGTTGTTAAGTGAATGCAGCAGTCATTAAGTGAATCAATATATTTCTATGTGCATTTATTGCCAGAAAGCAGCCAGAAAGGCTAGGAAGTGTGTGCTGGGGTGCCCCAGGGCTCTGTTCTAGGCCCAGTGCTCTTCAACATCTTCATCAATGATTTGGACGAGGGGATAGATGGGGAACTCATCAAATTTGCAGATGACACCAAGCTGGCAGGAATAGCTAACATTCCAGAAGACAGGCTTAAGATGCAGGAGGACCTGGACAGACTTGAACACTGGGCGCTATCTAACAAAATGAAATTCAATGGTGAAAAAAGTAAGGTTCTACATTTAGGCAAGAAAAAACAAATGTACAGGTATAGTATAGGGGACACCTTGCTCAATAGTAGTAACTGTGAGAGGGCTCTTGGAGTCCTAGTAGACAATCACTTAAATATGAGCCAGCAGTGTGCTGCAGCTGCCAAAAAAGCCAACTCAGTGCTGGGCTGCATTAACAGAGGGATAGAATCAAGATCACATGAAGTAATAATACCACTTTACAATGCCTTGGTAAGGCCACACTTGGAATACTGCATCCAGTTTTGGTCACCACGATGTAAAAAAGATGCTGAGATTCTAAAAAGAGTATAGAGAAGAGCAACAAAGATGATTAGGGGACTGGAGGCTAAAACATATAAGGAACGGTTGCTGGAATTGGGTATGTCTAGTTTAACAAAGAGAAGGACGAGAGGGGACATGATAGCAGTGTTCCAATATCTCAGGAGCTGCCACAAAGAAGAGGGAGTCAAGCTATTCTCCAAGGCGACTGAAGACAGGACGAGAAGCAACGGATGGAAACTGATCAAGGAGAGAAGCAACTTAGAACTAAGGAGAAACTTCCTGACAGTTAGAACAATTAACCAATGGAACAACCTGCTTCCAGAAGTGGCGAATGCTCCAACACTGGAAGTTTTTAAGAAGAGACTGGACAGCCGTTTGTCTGAAATGGTGTAGGGTTCCTGCCTGAGCAGGGGGTTAGACTCGATGACCTCCAAAGTCCCTTCCAACTTTATTGTTATTATTATTAAACTGGCAAAAAACATTGTAAATCATAGGCACATGACTGTTGTAAAGATGAGCCAGTTGCCAAGCACTTGAAATGTAGTCATGTGACCATAGGGGTATATGTAGACAGTAGACTAGTCTTAAGGATTACCTGCATGGAGCACAAAGCACACATAGGCATTTTATGTGCAAGACATTCTCTTTGTTTCTGATATTGATGTAATCCAAAACCATACATAACTGGAGTAGGGGGAGCAGCATCTTGAGGTCTATAAATTTCTTTTAAAAAGATTTTCAGAAAGACCAATAGGGGAGAGATGAAACAGAATGCTGAATGTCAAGAAAGAGGGCTGGATGGGCAGGAATCTCCACATTGCAGCATTATTGTTTTGCTACAGGCTCTAATTGTAATGTATCTGTTTACAGCAGGCTACTCTTAATTCTTTCCAGATGTGTTGGACTTCAGCTGACAAGTATCCCAACCAATACTGTGCCATAGGGAGTCTTGAGTAAAGATTGAGTACCAGATCAGGGAAGATTTAAAAAAAAAACCACACAAGACAGGCACCATATAAATACCACCCACAGAATAGCCCAAAGCACAGACTCTGCTAGAGAGAAGTTCCCTGAGGATGGGCTGTAGCAAGTGTCCGAAAGCTCAGAAGACAAAACTTCTGGTCCTGGTGACTGACCCAGATTGGATCCTGCAACATTATCCCAGGACATGTATATTTGCCTTCATTTTTGAGGGAAGATTAGTTTAAACATTTGCTTTATCAAAGAGTTGGCCTGTTTGCAATTCCTTTTCTCTCCCGGCCCCCACCTAAATCATCAGAGTCTTTGACAGGCACATTATGTGTGTATAATACATTATGTATGTGTTGAAGATTACCTGCTTTCCTAGACAAATTTCTTCCAATCTCCCCAGAACCTTCAGATGCCCAAGAATGCCTTCAAAAGCATTCTAGTCATTTGTCATTGTCAGTCCCCAGAGGCAGTATATCCATACTGCTACAGCTATACTCATTATGCAACCTAATTTATTCATCTTGGCAAAAATGAAGATGAAATCGATCAATGCCATCAGTTGAAGATGAAGATGATGACTGCTTCCCACTGCATGATGTAAACAAGGAACAGCAAAAGCGGGTGCCATTTGAAGCCTCTGCATACCCAGCCAGTGACACATTTTCTTTGGCAAGAAGAGATGACATATTTTCTGTGGTAATAGAGCTAGAGAGCCAATTGCATCAGCTGAAAGCAGCTAGATTTTGATATGCTGTTTCTGGTGATTTAACTCATTTCAAAGCTTCCAGAAAAAAATGTAAAACATTAGGATGAGATTTTGGAATCAGGGGACAGGATAATTTTCTTTCTTTTTTTTAAAGAAATGTTTATTAAAAAAGTTTTTACATAGGCTTAAAAACTTACAGAAACTTAAAAGAAAAAGTATTAAAAGAAAGAAAATATACAGGAGTTAAAAAAGTGAAAGATTACAAGAGAAAGAAAAAGCAAAGTCTAAAGCAGCAACTTCAAGTCTAATGTGCAGCAGTTACTTACACAGTAATTACCAACTCCATCTTCCCAAACTGCATACTATGGTTTCCTTCTTTCCAGAAACCAATTGTTTATATCAATAAATCCCCAAATCAACTGTTCATTTTATCCATTTTCAGCAAAAAGTCCAAAAAGGGTTTCCACTATTTTATAAAAGCAATTGTAGTTCTCTCCTTTATCAAACAAGTCAAACAGTCATCCAATATTTGAGGGGCTATCACAAAGAAAAGAGTGGTCAACCTATTTTCCAAAGAACCAGAGGGCAGGACAAGAAACAACAGATGGAAACTAATCAAGGAGAGAAGCAACCAGGAATTAAGGAGAAACTTCCTAACAGTGAGGACAATTAATCAGTGGAAGGGCTTGCCTTCAGAAGTGGGTGCGCCATCACTGGAGGTTTAAGAAGAGATTGGACAGCCATTTGTCTGAAATGGTATAGGGTTTCCTGCTTGAGCAGGGAATTGGACTAGAAGATCTCCAAGGTCCCTTCCAACTCTGTTATGCTGCTCTGTTAAGTCAATTTAGTCATTTCTGCAAACTCTGCCATCTTCACAGTCCATTCCTCCATTGCAGATATTTTTGTGTTCTTCCTTCTCTTTGCCTATAATAACCTCACTATAGTTGCTTTATATAAAACCAGTTGTCCATGAGCTTTTTCTAGTTGACTGTCCATAAATCCTAGTAAAAATAGGTCCAGTTTCATCTGAATATTA